CAGACAAAAACACATAAAAAACACACACACACACACACACACACACACACACACATAGTTAAGCATACTCAATTTCACCCTGGGCAAGGATGCTGAATTTAGCAATTTCCTCAACAGCCTCATTCATAGTCTGGGATGCATGATGCCATGCCTGCTCAGTTGGTCGTAAATAATACGCATTAGAGTGTGTGACAGGTTGTGTGTGTGCAAGGCTATACGTGTTTATGAGAATATTGTACTGATATGAGTATACTCAGTAAGTCTACCTGCTACAGTGCCCAGAGGTTTGTCTTAACTAGCTGCAGATGAACAGGGGCAAACTGCCCTGAAGCCCATGGAACAGTAAAAAAACACACACACATAATGGGCTGCAGCTCTGAGCAGAGAATGTTGCAATGGTAATATGACTCAACACAACTGTTTGTCCCCTACAGGGAAAGAGACATTGACTCCTGATGAATTACAAACAAACCTAAAACAATAAATTAAACCATTAAAAATGTCTTTTTTTTTTACATAGCATCTCTTGTTACATAGCAACTCTCTCCGACACTGAAACACAAAAATTCAGAACTGTCTTTCATGCATATTAACAGTGAAATTTCTGTTTAGCCATAGAAAACCGGCTTACCTCTTTACTGCCCTCGACATCAGATGAGTCACTACTGAAATCTTCCGTGTTCAGATTTTCAAAGTCCGACTCTCCCACCGCAATCGGTACTGTAACAGTGAGGCTGGGATTGTGTATGAACGACATGTAGCCGCCTTCCTCAATTCCATACTTTACGTGACCTTCCACTCCATTACCAGGGGAGAAGCAGCCCTCCTTCAGATAGTCTTTAGTGAGCTCAACGACCACCGGAGTGTGATTGGACAAGCAGTTCTCTTTGCCGTCGTTGTGGAGGTCGTCAAGGGGTTTCTCTTCGTCTAGAGCACGAGGTTTGGAGCCGGCCAGGCAGAGGCTTTGGAGGAACTGGCGTAAAGTGGACTTGACCAGTGCGATACCTTTCTGTATTCTGCCCACGGCGATCTGCAGGTTGTTCATTTCGCTGTCGTCATCCGTGGCGGCCAGGTTATCGGCACTGAAAGAGCTCAGCAGCAAGGCCAGGAACAGGTTCAACACCTGCCACACAACAACACACACTTTCAGAATCAGCCAGATCAAATGGCGATAAGATGAACAGATTCGACTCAGAAATGATTATGATGTGTATGGGTAAATGCACCATCGAGATGCACCATCTCGTTTTCGAGGGGGTCCCAAAATACACTGTATCACAATCACAACATATTTCAAATATATGCTACTATTTTAACTATTTGAACATTGATAATAATAAGAAATGTCACTTGCTCATCAAATCAGCATATTAGAATGATTTCTGAAGGAGCATGTGACTTCTTTCAAAAAATTTAAAAAATATTAGACCAAAAATTGAATGGTAGTGTACATCAAAAAAAAAAAAAAAAAATCAGGACTGATTCTCACTACTGTGCTAAGATGAAATAATGTTTTACTTTTTTAATTTAAATGCATTCATTTGTTATTAATGACAGTACAAATACTGTATTACAGTAACACAAATATAGACTCACCATTAGGAATAATGACTACCAAAAAAACCTAAACTAAACCCATGCATCATGGTAATGAGAAAATGGAAGGAAAATGCACTTAATGGTTCTAAAATAGGCTTCATTTCCCTTATGCAAATTATAATTTCTAAAAAAAAAATTTTTTGAGGAAAATAGGAAATTCACTAGGAAATTATACAATAGGAGATTCACTCTTACAACAGGGTGATCCGTTCTGTTTTGATTCGACTGAACAATTAAAAATTGCTTTGCTGATTCTACTTCAAGCTCCAACATGGTCTTGGGCTTAATGCTGAGGAGCACACATGCAGCATCATGCAAAAGTAAATATTTTTGCTTACCGATGCCAATGTAGAACAGCACATTCACATGTGCACTAATGATAATGGTTCATTTATTCCACAAGTGTCTGAAATATCTAAAGTGTCTAACCTATCTAAACAAGTACATCAAATGACTGAAGTTGCAAAGTAGGAAAGTGTTCCTGGATCAACATCCTGTCAAACAAACATAGTCCTAACCCCTAACCTTTACCTTTACATACCTAAAATCAGATGGACACCTTACTTTAAACTCAACGCTACCCTTACTTTAAACTCTAAATCTAATCAGTTTAAAGTATTTGAATGTTGTTGCAGGACCAACAAATATGTTAATCCAGTAGCACATCCCACTTGACAGAATCCCATCTATCAGTGCAGAAAGTATAAAATTGCAAAAGAATATGTAGATAAGAGGAATAAAAAGGAAGACAGAAAGAAGAAAGTAGAAGAGAAAGCATATCTTCCAGATGTCTGGCATGATTGATCTTACCACCAGATTCCCAATGACCATGACCATCATGAAGACGATGAGACACATTGTCTGCCCCGCCACTTCCATGCAGTCCCACATGGTTTCGATCCATTCGCCGCAAAGCACTCGGAACACAATCAGGAAGGAGTGGAAGAAATCGTCCATGTGCCACCGCGGCAACTCACAGTCATCTGAGATCTTGCAGACACATTCACGGTAGTTCCTTCCAAACAACTGCATTCCCACCACAGCGAAGATGAAGACGATGATGGCAAGGACGAGGGTTAGATTTCCCAAAGCACCAACTGAGTTACCAATAATCTTTATCAGCATGTTCAGGGTGGGCCAAGACTTTGCCAGCTTAAAGACTCTTAACTAAGAGAGAGAATGAGACAGGAAATGTTAGAAAAGAGATGTTTTGATGTATGAAAATGTGGGTTTCTGAAATGGTATCAGCCATTCAGTCCAAAGCTTGCACAAGCATGTAGAGTACATTAAGCTCAATTGCTGTTGTCATGAATTTTACTCAAATTGTTATGTTCGTGACAATTTATAATGAAAATAACAGCATTAAACTAGAAAAAAGCAAAGCATAAGCATTTTCACTAATGGTCTTAAATCTTCGAACCCCATTGTACAAGAGAAGAGATTTGCTCACCAATCTAAAGGACCGCAACACAGAAAGTCCCTCAACATTGGCCAGGCCCAGTTCCATGAGACTCAGGCTCACGATGATGCCGTCAAAGATATTCCAGCCTTCTTGGAAGTAGTAATATGGGTCTAGAGCAATTACCTTCAGACACATCTCTGCTGTGAAGATTCCTGTGAATACCTGCACAGAGCGCAACAGGAACAAATCAGCACCTAAACAATCCTAACAACTACCAACGGAGCTAAAAATCTCAACACAAAACCGATAATAAGAACATTTACACGGTGCACTAAAACGTGTCAAACCTGCATTCTCAATGTTTAAATAAAGATTTTAATGCATCATAAAAGTTTGCTTGAACTTAGTAGTGTAATTACTACTAACTAATAGGTTTGTATTTGTTGTACTGTTTTTATGCAGATTTAAATTAATCAAATCAATCAAAAAATACTCTATTATAATAATGAGAATCTGGCATTGAGAGCTCACCAGGTTCCCAACTGACAGCACATGGTTGAACCTTTCTGTCATAGGGTAGTGCTCCATAGCCATGAAGAGTGTGTTGAGAACAATGCAGATGGTTATGGCCAGGTCTACAAACGGATCCATCACCACCATGTTCACAATCTCCTTCACCCTCAGCCAGGCTGGACAGCAGTCCCAGATCAGGAAGCTGTTGGCAAACTTGTACCAACATGGAGGGCACTTCTGCCGCGATTCCTCAAGTTCTGTGAACAGAAATCATTTGCAGTTTAGATCCATCAAATGTTAAAAACTATGGCTTTCAAATAGCTTTCACATTACGGTTGCATTGCAAAAAAAGTCCACATGTCTGTATTGTCTGTTGGAAGATTGTGTGTGTATGTGATGACTGAAAATTAAGTTGAGAGTGCATGCGAGGCGTTCAGAAATAATTACACTGGCATGTCAGCAGCGTCAGCAACTATGTGACTTAAAGTCAGTTTTTAAAGGTCAGTAGATGAGTGTGAGAGTGTGTGAGGGTGATCTTCATTTTCATAGCTAATCAAAGGGAAATTGTACGTTTTTGAATGATTAGATCTACAATGGAATATATAATATGAACATACTGACTGCATCTAAAACAAACCCTTTTACAGATATGTCACTCATTTAATACTCAAGACACAATTGAACAAATTACTGATAATTTACTTTTATCAGTAAATAACACAAACTTTGCCAGAGAAAGCCAAATTAATTAATAAATGAAATCGAAATGTGGCTAAAAATGAAAGAATCTTACTTTATTTTCTTTATTCTCTTAGAAATCACAGAGAACAGAATTAAACCATTATGGAAAATTGTCAAAAAGTTTTATTGTATGTGATTTTAACACATTTGTGTGCATGTGTGAGGTCAGTGTGTCTCAGACCTTCCATAGTATTTGTCAAAATGCTGGCCACACTGAGAGCTCTTTTCCTGGCTACCGTCTCATCCAGATATTCAGACGGCTGGTGTGATCCTGAACGTTTTTTACGTGCCTCAGACTCAGTGGTTGTGCCCTAGAAAGAATAAAAACACATCTTGAGGATTGAGCATATTATTGTTAACATAACATAACAAGGTTTAATTTCCTTATGCATTTCAATTACTCTACCTCAGGTAACAAACGTCCGATTGGTGATGTTGGCACAGATGTCCCGCCCACCAGGGAGACCACTCCATTGCAATCGACTGTGCAGTGCATTTTCCCGTTGGCTGGGAGCATAATTCTGGGAGCAAGGCTGCAGTGACTGACAGTGGAACTTCGTCTCTCAATACAACGAGGTACGAAGAGCGATCCGCGGCGACTGTCGCTATCCTCAAATGTGCTGTGCTCATCGTCTGCAAAATCATTCTCTGAGCCAAAGTCTCGCGCTCTACCGCGAAAACTGAACAGACTAGCGCGACTGTTCCTCCTTGGGGAAAAGAGAGATCCACGAATGCTGAGAAGAGACTGAAAAAGAGATAAAAACAAAGAGAAAATGTAAAGTACGATTCTGATTGACTGTTTATGTGTCCGATAACCAGCACACAGAACAATATGTGTTATTCCAGTCCTAATATTACTGGATTAATAATTAAATCATTTATCACTAAACTCAGAAGGTGAATAACTTGCTTTACGACACTAGTACTGCACAGAAAAGTTGAATAATCTATGCAAGAGACACATTTATATAGTCATATATGAATCTAATTTAAATCTAATGTATGTATGTAAGCATGTATGTATGTATATACACACACACACACACTAGTCAACATTTGAAGTGGATCAAAATCTTTCATCAAAGTTGTCCTAAAACCTAAAACCAAAATGCGTTCTTGTCTTATGATGAACTGATGAACTTTTTTGATCCACTTCAAATGTTGACTACTATATATGCGTGTGTAAATATATGTATATATAATATTAACAACAATATCAACAATGCTGTTCCTGTTGAATTTAATAAAATTGGTATGGCGGGGTCAAAAGGTCTCTAAAAAGACTGCCTCTGACTAGCAAAAGTAGCAAGTAGCAAATTAAGGTTCATGGCTGTGATATAAACTAAAGGCTATTAGCAATTTAAAAAGCCCTTCAATATGTCCTACCCCAAACTCCAAAATACATCAACACATGAACACAAACGTCACATGGTCTTCTAAGTTTGTACTAATTAGATTTGTAATAACTAAATTTGTTTGTGTTTGTCATGACATCAAAATGCCTGCCCTTAGTTTTGAATTGTGCATGCTGGTGCAAAAATGTGTAAAAATGAATTCATTTTGTTTCTCTAGTTTACGTTTGTTATGTCATGTGCTCATATTATGTTATATTTCAAAACTGCATATGCGATTTGGTCTATATTGTGAATAATGCTGTTGGAGATTAATGTGCATCCACATGCCATAACTCTTAATGCCGTAACCCACACGCCATAGTATATTTCTAGTGGATTCAGATTTGTTAGAATTAAATGAAACCATATCTCAACCACATTTACATTTGGATTACTTCTGAGGCATCTGTGTAATGCATCTGTGCCACCTTTAGCACTGTAATCCTCCTGTGTATAAGTGCATAACTGAACATTTTAATGAGCTAATATTTTCTGTCTCCTTATCACACTTCTTGAGTCGATTAGCACTCCACCCACCTAACCTCAGTAACAATATAGTTGAGAAGCTAAGAATTATCTGATGAACAAAGAAAGGCTTATCAAACTACATTTCCCATAATTCTACAAAAAGGAAGTAGTCACCTGATTGGGAGTGGAACACTTCTTCTCATACGAGAGTCGGTTGGCATCGATGGAGAATCGAAATCCAGGCCGTCTAATGCTGTCCTCTGAGGCGGACTTATGGAACTTTTCCTGATCGGCTTTCTCTTCTTCTTCCCTTTGTTTTCTTTTCTTCCTCCTGTTTCTTCGCTCTTTAGCGCTCTTGGAGCTGAGTCTGGACCCCCCAGAGGAGCTTTCCTCTGACAAGCCCCCCCTCCCGCTGTACTCCCCACTCTCTGTTGCTGCTGCCGCCGCAACCTGCCGACCAATCACAGCACAAGCTCCGTTGTCAGGGGCAACCTATGGGATTACATCTCTGCCGCAATTCTGCAAATCAAAAGTGCGTTTTGCACGCGCGCGAACTGACAGACTACATTACAGGTATTGATCGCATTGCTGACCTTTGGCACTTTATTTCATTCTCACTAATTACTTCCTTTTTCCTTATAATGTCTTTTTTGTCTTAACTTTTGGAATCACACATAATAAGCCCAATTACTAGTAAACAGCTCTATCTATCTATCTATCTATCTATCTGCCACCATCCAAAATGCATAGTCGCCATCTTGGAGTTAATCTACATCTTGCTCTTTGCGTCTTTTTCTGTGATTCTTTCGCTTTCTGTCTTCCTCTTGTTTCTCTTTTTTATGTTTACTAGGAGAAAGGACACTCCCTCACTCGCTCTCATTATCTGTCGGTTTCCATGGCGACAGGGCAGTGTTATCCGCAGCAAGTGTGGAGCTGAGAAACTTAAGAGATGACGAAGGCAGAGGAAGAGATCAAAGATCAGGAAAGGAGAACAACATAATGATCAAAACAAAAATAATGAGAACACATAATAACTGTAAATCAAAGGGGAAAAAATTTAAAAACGGTCTGTGCAAGTGAACATATGTTTGTGTATAGAGCTGGGTAGATTACTTACAAATAGTATTTTGTTACTGGGTTCCAAATTACATGACAAAAATTGTAGTTAATAACGTAATTCATTACACATTTTAAGCTACTTTTTGATAACTTTTAGGTTACTTTTGCCCTAACTTGTTTATCACATTGATTTAAATAGAATAATCTTGTGGTCAAATGCTGTGTAGCTATCTGACTGATCTCTGTGTGAAATGTCTTTCTGAAGACTTTCTGAATGTATATAAGCAGTAGGCTATTTTAGAAAGGAACATTTAAAAGATGAAAAAGAGGAATTAGGGAGAATCAATAAATTGTGACCTCTTCTGGCAAAATGAGTCACAATGACCAAATCTTCAAAAATAAGTTACTTTTATTTAAAGCTGCAGTCCGTAACTTCTTTTGGTTAAAAATGATCCGAAATCAATATTTGAGCAAGTACATAACCAGCCAGTGTTCAAAACAATCGCCTTACTATAGCCCTATTCACAACGGTTAGCTTATAATAATGTTTTCTAATTTGAGTGGTACAGGTAGGTTTTCGCGGGAAATTCGAGCATGCTGCCGCGTCATTACGTCACGTCTATAAACATAAAGAAGTTGTCCCGGCTACTAGGCTATCGCATGTGAGGATGCTGCAGGTGGCGGATCGTTTATAGCCTTTTCTAACAGCAGCTGGAATAATTAAATGTATCATTTTGATGGTTGCACACTAGTGTTTCAATAAGCCACTTTGAAACTCTCCTGTTATTTTATTTTTTAATATATGTTATGAACAGAAATGTGATATTTCAAACAAACTGAAATACTTTAGCCGCGGAGCGGTGTTTTTGATATCAGTGAGCGAGGAGTGGAGTGGAGCGGGAACGGGAAATGGTGAACGCGGAGCTGGAGCGGAGTAATTATTAAATGCTCGGAGCGCGGAGGGGAAATTGTTGCCGCTCCACTCCGCTCACATACTCTGACCCAGGCAAGGAAGATAATTCCGCAAACAGCTGCAATTGCAGGTTTTCAAACAGAGATGGCGACAAAGAGGCAAAACTTACGGACTGCAGCTTTAAGACCTTCAAAATGACAAAAAATGACTGAGCTACACCCATTTCAAGTCGATAGAGTCAGCAAAATTAAAGTTTTCTGAACGTTCCAAATCAATATCACCTAACAACATTGCATTTTTCCTCCAGTTTTTTTCTTAATAATAATTAGTTAAGTTGCTCAAAAAAAGTAATTCACTACAAATTACTAATAACTTCTTTAAAATTGTGCCAAGAGGTAGGCTAGAATCTGTGATTGCGAAGTACAGTAAATATCCACACCTGACTGCCACACATTCACCTCAAAACATTAGATTCAACCGCGCTGGAGCCGTGCCGGCGCACAAAGCGCCGTGCACTGAACAAAAACTCATCTGAACGCCTCTGATTGGCCATTGCATTCATAAGCTCAACAGACTCGTGTGTGATTGGTTATAATGCGCAACACTGTAAAACGCATGAAAAATCATGGCGCAACACTGAGCAGATCTCAATTTAATGCTGCGGTCAACACTTTTCATTTGATTTGCATTTTATTCGCGACAGCCGTAATGGATTTAGTTTAACTGTACAGCAGCATTTGTGCCTGTGTGTTGCCATAGTTTCTACAAGCGGAAACTGAGGATATGCGACAATGACCAGGGACAAGTCATTATTCAAAATTGGAATTTCTCTGGATTTACAAATCCTTAGGAACTTTTGGAATAACATAAATACACAACTGCATAAAATATATAACACTGTGCAAGTAGTTTTGGGATATTTTATTACGAAAATCTTACATATTGTACCTTTAAGTAACGGGTAATTTTACTGAAATTAGTAACTGTAATAAAATTACATACATTTAAAATGTAACGCATTACATTACTGCGTTATCCAACTCTGATAATTACTACATTAGTAATCACAATATAGCTATTTTTATTTTATTTTTGTTATTATGACTAAGAACAGATGCCAAAAAAAAACAATAGAACAAATATAAGAAAAAAAAAATGCATTACCCTTTTCATTTTACATATAAACAAAAGCATTCGAGTAAGAAAAACAAATTATCAAATGTAAAAATCCCTTTAGTGTGTTAATTACAAATAAATTGATTATTAAAACTACAAAGCAGTTCAATCAAGAGCAGCAAGTCATTCCCTCTTTTCTTTTATCTTTAGATTAACATTAATGAGACAGACGGCCTATATATTAAGACCTACTGTAATGCACAGATCTAATATAATGTTACACATCAGATGTTTTTCCACAACAGTTCCCCAAATGTTCACTTAAGCCATAACAGATTATGTTTGATTGAATACTTAAATACTGTAATTCTGTGTATATTTATCAGGATTGCGCGCTTCGGATGAGAGTCAGCACAAAAAGCAGAGAAAAAGTACTCCTCTCAGAAAACATACAAATATAAATAATTTTAGATGTTTAATTACTATCTGGAGCATTGGGATTGCTAGGCAAGGACTTAAAGGGATCATATGATGTTGCTAAAAAGAACTTTATTTTGTGTATTTGGTGTAATGAAATGTGTTTATGCGGTTTAAGGTTAAAAAAAAACATTATTTTCCACATACTGTACATAATTGTTTCTCCTCTATGCCCCGCCTTTCTGAAACGCGTCGATTTTTACAAAGCTCATCGGTCTGAAGAGCGAGGTTGTGCTGTGATTGGCCAGCTATCCAGTGCGTTATGATTGGCCGAATACCTCAAGCGTGTGACAGAAATGT